ACTAAAATTACCTTTCGATCCAGGAACATTTCTCGCTAAAACACCTTCAGATTCCGCATAAACCAACGCATTCGAGACAGATGCCAGCGTATGCCACACATCAATTTGAAATAAGTTCGATTCAATGGGTCCCAGAGAAGGCATTCCTTTATACAAACGGTTTATTGATGGCGTTGATAACCACTCAGATAAGACCCACAGTGCGGGCATTACACGACGCATCTAAACAATTTGATTCATTACGATAAAATGATACTTCAATGAACTCACTCACTCACCTTTGATGGGATCGGTTTCTCTCCAATTAGAATCAGATTCAAGTCGTGTTTAAATTCGTCTAGGCACGTCAATAATATGGCAAATAAGCTGAGTACCATCTGCACGGCGCGCTGTTGCAATAATGAGCATGTGTTCATTTCAACACCTGCAATCACAAGTCTCATCACCGCCATCAACCCAACCAACTCAAATCAACAACTCACTGATCGACGAGCAATTGTGCACAGCGAAGATGTACAACGCGCAAATCTGCACCACCTGCACGGCACTCATCGGACACTCGTCCCTCGATATCAACGCCTGCAACTGCAACAACGCCCTCTCACTCTCACTCTCGAACTGCTCCATTCCGATCTTCGTTATCAGCAAACCACTCGTATGCAACAAATACGGAACTGTACGACGGTATAACTGCAATAAGACGATTGAATGACCACGCATCACACGAAAGTCTATCGAGAAGCGACATCAGAACAAACCTTCACAATAGAATCATTCTCGAAATCGAAAGCATTCGACGAATCAACCATATCGTTATCATCTCTGTTCGTTCTCTTCCCATCCGACGATATCCAAACCTCGTGTGGTTTCTCTCCTTTGTATATCTCTTTCTCTTTGTGTTGAGCGTTCATTCCGGATGCAGTAGTCAAACCAAAGCGTTCATCCAGCTCGATTTCGTACTCATTAATCTTAAATTCATTATCTCTTATTATCAACAACAATCAAGTGAAAAAGCAACAAACCTTCTTGCTGATATCGTTAAA